AGTGAGGAGGCGGGGGGGGGGGGGGGGTCATTTGAGTTGCTAAATGAAATTAGCAGCTTTAAAGAGCCTGAGGGCAAAGTGGAGTCGTGTCCCCCATGGCTACGCTTTAGAGAGGGAGGGAATGAATCAAGCTTGACTGGATCCTCCTCCTCCTCCCCTCCCTCACTTTTTTCTGTTTTTTACTAATATATGGGGGGAGATGAAGGGGGGGGGGTGAAATCGGGGTATAAAAGCAGATCGTGGAGGTGAGGACAAGCTGGCGCATCTTCTTCTGTTAACTCCAGATTCTGGATAAAAAGTTCTTTATTTATTTTCCGTTTTTTCTTGTTTCCTGTTTCTGTTTTCCCTTTTTTTTTTTTTTTTTTTTTTAAATCATTTTTATTTTTCCCTTGATGCATCTTTTCTCCTGTCTGGCTGTTGGAGGTTTTGGCTCTAGCTGTCACTGCCTCTGCACCCAGGACTGAAGCATGAACCCCGGGGCGTTCTCCAGCTCCGGCCCCCTGTCCTGGGCCATGTACCTGATGAGGAAAGGCCGGACAGAAAGCGGCGGACTCTTTGGTAAAGCTTGCTCTTTGTCACACCTTCACGAACATCACCATCACCATCATCATCATCATCACCGTCACCATCTCGTCATGTGTTTTTGTCGCTTTGAGCTTCAACAGAATCAGTTATGTTTACTTTGTTGGAGACTTTTTCATCACCACGTTTCATCAGAATTCACTCCTTCATTGACTAGTTCACTCGTTGACTCCTTCCTCTGTTCAGTCGCCTCTGCAGCATCGTCCTGTCGTGTCGTCCGACAGCTAAAAACTCTGAGGTTCACATTTAGAATACTGTGTTATATATCAAACACTATTTTGAAAACAGGAAATCATTTTAAGAGTTTTTTTTAGTATCCTGGTCTGGTTCTGCGAGTCCTTCAGGTCTAGCTGTTGTAGGTAGCTCTGATTCCATTCAGTTCTAGAGAAGGTTCTGGATCCTTGAAGTAGATAGAGACTTGAAGGTGATAATGAATGATCAGAGGTAGTCATTATGGGGTGTGGACCATATATGAGTGTTCTGTAGGTCCCTGGTTCGACTCTCCCCACTCTCTCTCTCGCCTGTATTTCCTGTCTGTTTCCACCTACCCGCACAAATAAAAGCATAAAAACACCCAAAAAAATAACTTAAAAAATAAATACTTCATAGGACATTTAGACCATCCTATGAATTTCATGTATTTATTATATAATTTTGAATTTGGGATGTTTGAGTTTTATAGATTCTGATATAGGTATTGATGGTATAAATTGTTTGGTAGCATAATGTCACCCGGAATCTCTGATGTCTTTTTTTTTTACTATTCAAACCTGAGAAAACCCTGATCCTCACAGTCTGGAGGACATTTGAAGGACTTGATTATATTCTGAAGATCCAGCTCTAGAAATCAAACACTGAAGCTTCTGATTGGTGATAATATTGAATTTTGATGTTGATTTTCTAAACAAAGACATTTTATTATACATGACAAAGGGAACAAAGCTTAAGAAAGCTTAAGCTTACATTTGCTAAACTAATGAATCATATATGAACAGATGATTTTTTGTTATTATTTGATTATTTACAGTTAGTCTGTCTGTTAATCAAATAGCTTTAACACTGATGCATTAACTGTTTCTGTTAATGTGAGGAAACATTTCATTAGTGGAGGAAAATACTAATTATAATAATTACAACAATTAGAAACAAACAACTATTCCTATATTATATAAGATAAGAAAGTCTATAATTATTATTATTATTATTATTGTTATTGATGTTATTATTTTGTTGTTATTATTCATATTATTAATATTCTCAAAAGCAAAAAGTCAAATATCAAATAATTATAGTATAATATAATATAATATGTACAATTATATATTTAGATATAGTGATATATTTAGATATAAGTGTTCTACAGGGGAGAGTATATTAATGTAATTATTTCATTAACAGTTATATTTTATATTATAACATGTTGTATATTTATGTGACAGAGCCAGTCTTTTCAACTGCTGCTGATAACATGCAGTAAAGCTGGTATCAATAGCTTTGATAGCTGATTGTGGCTGGGTATTGATTATGGATCAGAGGACACAGAGCAGCTCGTGTTACAGTGGGAAACGCTCGCAGAGCGAAATCCAACTCCTCCATCCTCTTCTTCTCTGGTCAGAGACTCGACATCCAGTTCGTTTACATTAAAATTGTATTAATTATACTATTATTAATCATTTTAAATGTAATATTATGATTTTTTGACTGAGTCTCTATGGTGTTTTATAAGGCCTAAACTCCTCACGGCCTTGTGTTGTGATTGAATTATTGATGGTGGTTAAATTCAGGATAAATGTTCAGTGTCAGGTCTAATGACAGGAAGTGCAACTTGAACAGGGTCATGTGATCATTAGCAGCGAGGACGTCATGTGATATAACCGTCAGTGACAGAGACCAGCGAGGCGTCCGCTGAGGTGATGGCGGCTCAGATCAGGAGGAAGTGAAAAATAGATATTTCTGAGGGCGAGTGGCGTCGTGTCCGTCTGAGAGCGAAGGCGTTTTACATTTTTTATCAGCCCCCCTTGGCTACATGAGGGGAGGACGCCGAGGCAGAGTGGCATCTCCCTAAAACTCCTCTGACAGCGCGATGATGCAACTTAAATCAAACCGACTGACTCCAGAGCAGAGAGGAGCTCACACAGCCAAGTTCACAGCTGACCTTTGACCTGTGGAGGAGGCGGAGTCTGAGGAGAAACAGGGAACCAAAAACTACCTTTATTGTCACCAGAGTCATGACTGAGCAGGTGTACAGAGGCCATGAAAGGCCATAAAGAAAGACATTTAAAACACTGACAGATTTTATTTTGAAAATCATCTGAATTCCTGTCTTTGAAATTTATTTCATTTGAAGATGCGTTTAAAAAAAAATTCGGAAAAAAGATTCTGGTGTCCAGACCTGATGAAGAGCATGGGATGTGGTTGAAAGTAAAAGTGGAGATTAAGTTGAGATTGTTTTGTTAATCATCAGTTTGTCAATTTCAGATCTAAAAATGTAAAATTAATTTGGGAAAAAAAAAAAAAAAACTCAAAATGAACATCTGAGTGAACAAATCTGTCCAATCAGGTGATGTTCTGTCGGTCATGTGGCCCAAGAAAGAGCCACTGAAAAACTGTACAGGAGTACAAACCATATAAATACAAACCTACATGGACTTTAAATTTCATCGTTATGACTTATTATAAGTTTATTATACAACATATAATAAGTGGTTTCAATTGTATATTTAGATTTAGGAACAATGTGGGATCAAATATAAACTGAAGCTGAGTTTTATCAGATACATTCTGGGAAACAGAGGTAACACAAAAATAAAACAAAAAATACATCACAACAGAGAGAAGCTGCATATTTTTCAACAGAGATGAAGTCAAATAAAATAAATTAACTTAAATTAAATACAATAAAATGAAATAAAAAAATTATGAAATATCAAAGAATAAAATGAAATGAAATCAATAAAATAAGATAAAATACAATTAAATAAAATCTTATGAACAAACTGTTGTTACAGCAAAGGTACAACATGACTATTTTTTGCATTTGGCTTCTTCAGATTAATTTTAACTATTTGGAGCAATTTTTACTCATTTTTACTCTTTATGGACACAAAGTGTCATTTTACACATAATCACATCATGATGAAATTCTTACATCAATGTTTTAGCATGAAAATTAAATGAATTAACTGGAAACAAACATGTTTTAATAAATGAATAATCGTCTGATTCAGTGTGACGTGTTTTTATCATGTGTTTTTCTAAGGAAAAATTAACTCTCCATCTCTGATGCTTTGTGACATGAATTTTGTCAAGATTTATCCTCCATACATTTTATCATGTTTCATATTTATTTAACTAAATCAGCCTCTTTTCTATGATCATTATGTTGAAGCTGCGAAACACAAACATTAGAAATTAGAATTCAAGCAAAAATACAATAATTAAAAATATAAAGATCAATTATTTTAATCTGAGAAACAATTAAAAATCTAAAATAAATGATTTGAATAATCTGAAATAATAATGACTGATACATTAAGATTCATAGTTGAAGTCTGGATCATTGATCCGGATCAAACTGATCTCAGATCATATTTAAATGTTCAGTCATGTCATTCAGTTTACTGGCGCAGTTCAGAGTCAGGACTGAGATCATCTACTGCCCCCTCTCGTCTGTATGCGGTACTGACAGTCTGGACTGGTTTCAGTTCTATGAACTGGTGGAGTTAATGGACAGCTGCAGATTAAACTGTGCACATTTAGAGCAAGAGAAGAAGCAAAGGGAAACAGGATGATGGGAAGTTTTGGAGACATTTTAAAGTTATAATAATATATATTTTTAATACAGTTGTTTCTGTGTTAAAATCCTCCATTTTTCGTATAAAGTCACTTTAACCACATGGTTTGAATTCATGGAGATGTAGCAGCTTCTGCAGCGCAGGAGGAAGTGCCCCCCTCCCTCCCTCCTTCTCCTCCCTCCACCTCTTCTCTTTCTCCCCCTAAACCCCGCCTCCTGTCGGACGGACGCGACGCTGATTGGCCACAGTGACTTCGCAGTAACAGACAGCGGCGCGCCTCCCCATTGATGATATGCAAATCCACCGCTCTGCCGGTAAAAGCTTGGTGCTGCGAGCCGCGCTGCACTGCTCCTCTGGAGGGGAAGGGAGAGAGACATAAAGAGAGAGAAAGAGAGAAAGAGAGAGATTTAAAGTGAATTTATTTTCCTGGTTCTTTCACTCCTCACGCGCCATGTGGAGGCTTCACCTCAGCTGAGACACAGGAGGATATTTAAAGACTTTAGATCCACCTGGTCTGGAGAACCACCGGGGGCTTTTACGCACGGAGACCGAGACCCGGCGCGTGTGGGACGGGGACAACGCGGGATAACGAACCGCTATGACAGATACAAGCACACAGTGAGACTTCACACAGAAGAGAATCTGAGACCAGGCGAGGAAAAGAGCGGGAGGTTTTACAGCAAAGACGCGCCGTGACGCACAAATGGTTTTTCTGTGGGACGCGAAATACGGTACAAAACGGTTTCTTCTTCGTGTTTCTGCTGCTGCTTTGTGACAAGTTTTAATCCATCAGGAGGTTTTCACATTTGAACACGTAGAGAGAAAAGACGGGAACTACCAAAATCAGTCCGGATCCTCCTCCTCCTCCTGTGCGTAAAGACGCACAGGACCCGGAGCTGAGGTTCAGATCTCAGGCTCCAGAGAGTGAGAGGTTCTGCTGCAGGTTTATTCACACTCTCAATCACACACTCTTTCATATAAAACACTCTCATGTTTTATTAAATATTAGAATCAAGAAGTTTCTACATAAAGTAACAAGTTTAAAATCAAGTTCACACACTTAAATAATAACTGATTATAATGTGAGTGCAGGATAAATCCAGGAGCTGACTCAGTTTGTGTTATCATGTGGAGTCACTTCCTGATTAAAAAACAACATTTAACTCGTCTGTTTATTATTTTCTATTTTTGTCCTTTTTCTTTCAAATTCAGATTCACCAAATGACCTTAAGTCACTTAGTGATATTATTTGAATAACAAACATGTCGATATAGTTTATGTGAACCACTATGATTTACAAGTCTGTTTATTATTCATGTTTTATTATTTTGTCCCTTTTCTTTAAGCTACCTGCCTTAAAAGGAGGCGACACATCAACAAAATTTTTTCAGCAATTAAAGGTCTCTGTCAGTTTCCTGTTTGTTATTATTATATACAACTAAAAAAACTAGGAAATATTCACACCTGGAGTCACGATTTGATTGACATTTATAAAAATACTATTCATTTAATATATGACATGTTGATATACAGCAGTTTATCTGAAGCACTTATTATTTATGTTTAATTTTTTTGTCCTTTTTCATTAAACTAAAATACCAGACGACTTATTTCTTATTTCAAATATAAAATTTATGAATAATATTCTTCTTTTTATTATTAAAATGTTGAGTTTCTGGTTCTGACACTTGATGTTGAACTAGATTTTACAGATTTATGATGAAAATCACTTTTCACTGAGTCTCTGAATGAAGCTGTCTTTGGTGCGGGGGCCAACCACGGGCCGATGTAACTGTCTAGATTATACAGAGAGATGACATTTACACTCACATCATTCAGCGGCTCCTGGTCAAGGTCTTGTGTCTGTGCTCGGCTTTATGTTTAAATCAGACCTGAATCTGTTTTTACACTGAGAGAAGATTATAGAGATAAATATATGCAGAACTATAGAGATATAAAGATCCGTCAGTCAGATCCTGTGTTAGATTTAAATATATTTAATAACACAACATAATAAACACACTAATAAACTCAAGTTTGACGCCATGTCTCAGTTTAATGTGAAGAATTCTCATTAGAAGTTTGTAGTTTTCTAAATCTAAAAATCAGCGGATCAGTGACATTACACTGTTTGTGTGTCTGTCTTAAAACCACAACACACAACTGTAACCACACAGTTTCCTGATTCACTCCTCTGACTGGATGAGGTTATTGATTATTATTAATTATTATTAATTGTTATTATAAAATAATGATAAAAATATTTGTTGTTGGGTTGTCACTGTTTTTCATTTTATAAAAACAGGAGCTGCTGCTGCTGTCTTTAGTTTCATGAGCACATTCTCTGGTATTCAAGTCAATGTGACTGCAGTGTGTGTCATCATGCACTGTATATATAGGTGTGTGTGTGTGTGTGTGTGTGTGTCCTTTGTCCTTCTGTTATACTCTGTTTTTAAACTGGGATAATAATTGATATAAAATCAATGCAAGCTTTCAGTATTCAGTATTTAAACTAGCTGATTTAAAAGGAGGCAATACATCAACCAAAGTCCATCAATTTTTTTTAACCAATTAAAGGTTTTCTATCAGTTTCATGTTTGATATAAATTCAGCTTAAAAAAAATGTATTATCATAATAGTTATTGATTAATTAACTGCTGATTAATTGTTTCGTTTGTTCATATTTGTTGATTTTACCATCAAACACCCACAAACAAAAAGAAACTCACCCCCTCCTCCGCTCTCTCCCAGACCCAGCCTCCGGCCGGCGTTACACCCCCCCCTCCACCACCCTCGCCTCAGGGGGGAAGATGGCCGAGGCCCTGCCGCTGGGCACCCAGGAGGCCGGAAGCGGGGCTGCTCTGGTGGGCAAGCTGCGCCTGGCGGACCGTGGCATGGTGGAGGTATGATCACAACCCCACCTCAGAGAACCCCACACCCCCACGCTCGCACAACTGAGTCTAACACCTGGCTGTGATGTTTCCACAGGTGATCTCTGATCATCCAGGTGAGCTGGTGAAGACTGACAGCCCCAACTTCCTGTGCTCGGTGCTGCCCACACACTGGAGGTGCAACAAGACTCTGCCCATTGCTTTCAAGGTGAGTGTCAACACAACTGCAGCATCATACGACATAACCAACATTATAATATAGTGTCAGTTATAGTAAAACAAAGATATGTATAATAATATAATGTCAGATTATTGCCAAGAATTTTGTTTTTAGTTGATAAAATATTAGAAAGTAGTTAAAAACACTCACAGTGGCACTCACACTCACAGTTTGAAATTATTGTTCTGCATTAAAAAAATATTGAATTTCATGTTTCATTCATGTCAGTCGATTCATTGATTCAGAGAGGGAGATGGTGTTTAATAATTGTTTTAATTTGAAATATGTGCCCCTGAACAACAGAACTCCTGCAGATGTTTGTATTTTCAGAAAAATTCTGTGAGATTTTAGAAAACAAGCAGGAAAATGTTCTAATTTTGAAACAGTCATCTGAATATGAATGTGAAGAAAATACACTTTAACATGTATTAACATATTATATCTTTTCCTTTACGTTCAATAAAAAAGATATATGAATAATAATAATGATAATAATAATTTCATAAATCCACATGCACTCTGCTGGGTTCATTTCATGCTGTCTACCCCCTTGTGTGTGTGTGTGTGTGTGTGTGTGTGTGTGTGTGTGTGTGTGTGTGTGTGTTTCATCTGCACTTTCAAGACCAAATGCATTTGTGTAAAAAGCAGCTTTTAGCTGCAGAAACACAACGGATTGATTTATTTAGTTTTACACATTAGTGTTTGCACGTGTGTGTGTGTGTGTGTGTGTGTGTGTGTGTGTTTGGTGCATTATGCATCATTATGGAGTGTCATGAACGGATGTCACTGCCTCTTACTGATAATGGATGACTGTTATGATCCACATACACACACACACACACACACACACACACACACAGATAAAAATACACATTTTATGAACATGCACAAGTGTACACACACATGACGAAACTATGTGTGCACATGCATCTGTTTAAAGAACGCACAAACACACAAACACACACACACACACACACACACACACACACACACATACACACACACACACACACACACACACACACACACTTGATCTAACAGCGTCATAATTGTTTCCTTTCTCTTGTTTCTTCTGCTGGTTTCATGCTCGATTGCTGCCAGTGTGTGTGTGTGTGTGTGTGTGTGTGTGTGCTACTGTTGTCAGGTGAAAAACATGGTATCTCTTGTTGACAGTTGTACAAACCAGTGAAAACCTAATCTTAAAAGCAAACATAATAAGTCGTAACCAGTTTTTCTTAGCTCATCTTGGAGATACAAGTTTTTATTTGACAAACACAGTGTGTTTGTGTGATTCCTGGAACATCAACACACTGATACAGTTTGATCTCAGACCAACATGAGGAGTCTGAAGTTAGACGAAAATCAGGGTTAAACCAGTGGGTTAACCCATAAGTGTCCAGGTTTGGGACTGGGATTGTGGGCTGTGGTTACTGGCTGCCAGGGCTCAGGGTCAAAAGAGAAACCATGCGTTGTACTGTATCTTTGGTGGTCATTTGCACACTGATGGTTTGGTGTGATTAGCGTTAATATGGAAATCAGCCTCCATGCCTCTGTATTTGCATGAGTGGAAGAGAAGCTGCACTCTAGTTTCAGAGTGTCACTTTTTATATCTCATACGCGTGTTCAGGGAAAATGATCCAGCTTTAATTTCATCATTTGCATCTTTTACATGAAATTTGATACTTGAAGCTGCTTTTGCCTAAGTTTATTTGAGGTCTTTAAAGGTCTAATATTGTATAACGTTTTTTTGTTATTATTATTATAAAGCAGGTCTAGGTTCTATATTAATACTGTGAAAGTATCAAAGCGCTCAGTCCACAGAGGAATGCACACAGCCTGTATTCAGAAACTGAGCCTTAAAACGAACCGTCGGGACTTCCTGAACTTTGTAATGTCACAACACAGCAGTCACCAAGCCCAGCCCACCTGGACATACCATCCAAGCCTTGTAGGATTGCAATTGCAGGATTATTTACAAGAAATTGAATGGATTGGAAAATATTGGATCACTCAGACAACAGTCAGCCCATCAGAAAGCCACGCAACGAGATAGCCAATCTGCTAACTTGTAGCATCCGTGTCCACTTTGATCTACTATGGATTTAGCTACATATATTAGCATGAGTTTATGTCCAGTGTCCACAAAAACATCCATGAATCCACCTAGAAAGCATAGAAATAAATACATTTGTTATAACTCCAGTGCAAACCAGAAGTGCAAGCAGCTACAAACAGGAAATGCTAGCAGCTACAAACAGGAAGTGCTAGCAGCCACAAACAGGAAATGCTAGCAGCTACAAACAGTAAGTACCAGTAGTTACAAACAGGAAGTGCTAGCAGCTACACATAAGAAATGCTAGCAGCTACAAACAGGAAGTGCCAGCAGCTAATGCAGTAAGAGTGTCCAGAAGTTAAAATACAAAACCATAAATGAAGCAAACAAAAAAAAGGTGCACTGTATAAGGTTCATAGCTCATTGCTTGACTGTTTACCCCAAAGCATTGTGGGAACTGTAGTTCCAGAGCCCAGAAGTGTCAGAATCCATGAATATTAGGCAAAATCACACCCTTTGATAATTCATCCAAATCTCCATCTCATCTTCTGTTTTCTTTTCCGCCATGTCTCAAGGTGGTCACCCTGGGTGACATCCCCGACGGCACCTTGGTAACGGTGATGGCGGGAAACGATGAAAACTACTCAGCGGAGCTTCGCAACGCCACGGCCGCCCTCAAGAACCAGGTTGCCAGATTCAACGACCTGCGCTTCGTTGGCCGCAGTGGACGAGGTACACAAAAACACACACACACACGCACGCACACACACACACACATACAGACACGCAGCGAGCAACATCATCCAGCACAGCACACACACATACACACACACACACACACACACAGATACATGTTCAAATGTAAAATATACTCATCTTTAATATCCCCCATTGGTTGAAATTTAATAGGTGTGTTTTCTACAAGCACACACATACACACATACACACACACACACACTGAGGCACACACACATAGCTTGGATAAATTAGGGGAAGTACATGTGAATAAAAACAGTTTTCCAGTATTCACCCAACTTCCTCGTAACACCCCGTTCACCTCCCTCCCTCTCTTTAACGGACACACTACACCACAGTTACTCTAAATCAGTTGCAGGCAAATGTCCCAACTTATCTATTTAAAACACCAGTGCTGTGTACACAAGGTCTGCTCACACACACACACACACACACACACACACACACACACACACACACACATATACTCTTATACACACACATATATAAAATGACAAGTTGCTGAATGGAGTGTGAGAACAACTGTCGATATGTGAGAGACTCCACAGTCCCACTGCTGCTGAGAAATGAACGTGTTAATAATTCATGTGCAGCAGAATTCAAATGAGTAGAAATTTGTTTTCATGCAAATGTAACAGCCAAACAGACAAAGAGCTTCAGTCTGCCAGCATCACTACATCTCAGTCATGGTTGTGCTCAGTTTATTAGGAAAAGCTAGCTGAAGCTACCGCAGGCTAATCCTCCTCCATGATGTCGTTAAGCCTCCCCGCACTTATTTGAGTGGGGTGGCAACACATAATGTAGCATTTGTCAGCTACGGGCTAACTGTTTACTCAAACTCAGAACAATTAGACTGTAAGATTAATGGATAATTGTATTGATTTCACTGACTCTTTATATTAATATGATTACAGTCTAAAGTAATGACGAGTCTTAAGCCATACTAGCAGCTGTGTGAGGATCTAGCATTTGCTAATTAGCACCAAACACAGAGCATTTGTCATACACCAAATGAATGAATTACAGTTCATCCTGAGGGGAGCATGAATGTCTCAAGCTAAGGCCACAACGATCCAGCAAATATTAGCTGAGATGTTTCACTCAGAATCACAGAAGACAACCTCATGGTGCTGCTTCATCTTAGTTTATTTACCTCATGGTGGCGTTACAGGAGAAATCAGTCATTAGGGTTCATCCTCTGTGGACCATGAATCTCTATACATACTAATTTTCATTGCTATCAATCCAGTAGTAGTGACGGCCCCATCAGCATCGCTATCATTAGAGTTGCATTGCAAAAAACAGAAAACATCAGGAGCGTCAGTTTCCCACCCTGACTCTTAGCTCTGAGCTCATTGGTTCCCACTGATGATGTAAATGTTTAAAAACACATCACAGATATGTTGTTTCATTTTAACAGCTGCTCACTCAAACGGGAGGAAGCAGTGTATTTGTTAGGGACTATTTTCAGCGGTGGATTAACCCACATTTGCTGCCGTGGAGAGTATTTCCAGCAGCAGGACGGCGTGTTTGTGTGACTGGATCTAAATAAACTACAGGGTTTGATGAAGGAACATGTCACACAGTGTTACAGTGAGGAGAAATAAGAGGAGTCAGACACATCAGGCTCTGATTGGTTGGTTTGGATCTGCACATGTGATTTACTGACAATATAGAATCTCACCAGATGTTTCGGTTGACCTCTGACCATCTCCCTGTGTAGTGTCAGGAGCTTCTAAACTGTGGATACAGTGAGGCTTTAATGTGTTGAGTGATAACAAGCCGCAGCAGCCCTCTCTGAAAACCTCTAACTGTCATAAACTGTACTTGTGGGAAGTGGTTAGTTTAGCTGCCCACACCAATGAGCGGTTTAGTGGTTTGACTACTGGTTTCTCTGTGTGTGTGTGTGTGTGTGTGTGTATGTGCGTATAGGTGGGAGTCAAAGTTCTCAAACTTAGTCATAATTAGTCAGTGTTCCCTGTTTTGCAGAAGTTCTTTGTTACAACACACACAGATAGTGATACACACTGTGTAGACTGGAATGATTCTTTATGCAGAACTGGAGCTCATTTCCAATAGTAGAAAACTATATTGATACAACCGGTGGTGCCTCTGGACACATCGTCAGCGATGCTCCTGGTTTCATCAGGTGTGTCTGGTCTTTCATCATCACACACCTCCTGCTCCTCCAGCTGCCTCCCTGCTTCTCCTCTTTTGAGCCCAATGCCCTCTTGAAGCCTCCTCCTCCTCCAATCAGAGGCCCAAACTCCTGAAGACTCAAACTCCACTGGGAGAGATGATCTTCAGAGATGGACTTCAGGACTTGATCGTGCCTCCATCAGGACCGTCCCTCTCCATGTGCCTCTGTGAGGATCTGCTCCAGGGCTCCTAGCTTGGAGCACAGTGACTCTGCAGATTTCACATCATTCACGTCCTGGTGTGATCCAGTCCAGGTCACTTTCCTCCATCTTGTCCTGCAGCTTCTCCTCCACTGATGCTGTCACCTTCTCCTGAGCTCCTGAACCCTCTGTGGGTGGTCTAGTGGGGATCCTGGTCTAGTGGACCACTTGAACTGTCCAATGAGGAGGACTACTATTACTATTATATATATATATATATATATGTGTGTGTGTGTGTGTGTGTGTGTGTGTGTGTGTGTGTGTGTGTGTGTGTGTAATGTGCAAATAGTTCTCAGTATCTATTTTAGTTCCTCTTTTAAACAGGACCATCATTTTTCTGTTTCACAATATCACACACACACACACACACACACACACACACACACACATATATACACAAACAGATGCACAAACACCAACTTGTTATTCCGGGAACATATATATACACATTGCTTTGTTAAAGACGGTGAAAATAGAGATTCCATCTGATTGGCTAAAGCGAGCCCTGACATGATACACACACGCGCATGCACACACACACCCCCCCACACACACACACACTCTTATCTATGGAGAGTGATGGAGACATGGGGGTGATCAGAAAAGAAGTCACAGACACACGCCTTTGAGATTTAGTCATCTGTGTGTGTGTGTGTGTGTGTGTGTGTGTGTGTGTGTGTGTGTGTGTGTGTGTGTGTGTGTGTGCTGATAGACAAAACAGACACAAAAACCTCAGCTGTTCCCTCCCTCCTCCCTCTATCAGCCAACATCTCTTACTGTAAACTCTCTGTGGCAACAAACTGCACAACAACACACTCAGGCTGTTTATACTACACTTCCTGTTATAGTGTTTACTGTACAATGAGTATGTATATGTTGAAGACAGAAGAAGGTTTCAAGTGATAATGCCCTATAGTGGCTGTGAAACCTCAACAAGTACAACACAGAGTCAGTAAAGGTGTGGTTTACGTTTTATTTCACTGTAGTTTATGAATCAGGAAGTAAACAGGAAACCACACATACTAACAACAACATCGCTAACACTTAAACAACATAATTTTAAGCCTTAATCAAATATAAACAGGTGAGTTATATGAACCTTCACCACCCCAGCTATAGAGACCAAAACCGTTTTTTGTAGGCTGTGAACATTATTTATTTGGACATTTTAAAAGTTAAAAGTCAACGGGGCTAACCCAAGGCTAATTCATCTGTTGGCCACTTAACTAGCTAACAAGCCAGGTATGCTGAGCACAGACATTGATACCTGCTAATTAGTGCTAACATATGAATAATAGTATAATTCCACAAGTTCACTAGAAATTACCTATAGAGACTAGCTATAGAGTTTTTTGTACCAGGCTGTAAACATGTTTAAGACATTTTAAGATGGGAGTTTCTGGTGCTTCAGTTTTCATCCCTGGAGGCTGATGCTTGGTTTGTCTCTTATTAGTACTGTTCATGTACCAATATTCAAAGCAGGAAGTAGTGTGTCCTTTATGTGGCTTTGGTTTAGCTTCAGGAGAAGTGGCCACCGCAGCTCCTCACTGAATGATACTAGTGAAAGTTGAGCAGATGTTCCCTCAGCTTAACCAAGTCTGACCGTTACCATATCTTAACCACAGTTGCTTTGGGACAACCACAGTATAAGTTTAAAGATAATGGACCAGACGCAGTCAGACAGAAACTCGTTTATCATTTGTGTGTTTGACAAAATGTTAAGAGACGAGTCGAGTGAGAGAGAAGTGAGAGTAACACCTGGCATTGCCCACAAATAGTCTGCAGTGTGTGTGTGTCTGGCATCAGACTGTCTGCCTGTGGTAACTGGCAGCAACAGTGGTGGTCTGCACGTGCGTGTGTGTTTGTGTGTGTGTGTGTGTGTGTGTGTGTGTGTGTGTGTGTGTGTGTGTTTGCAGCAGGCACAGTGTTGAGTGAGTGCTACTTCCAAAGCTAAAGCTGGCAGTGCCCCTCCCCTCCACACCCACACCCACACACACATACACACACACACAAATAGTGAACATATATTATATATCTCCCTCAGTATAAGGTATGATCCTCCCCTTCTGATTGGCTGGCAGGTTCCCATTAAAACTGTATATAGCTGTGGTCCATCCTCTCTTTTAGAAATCAGCACTAATACTGATTTAGGCTGCCAGTAACCATAGCAACAGACATTAGAAATCAAGCTGCATCACCATATTAGAGGAACAGGTCTGACTTTTAAACACGGTGTTTGTGGTCAGGTCAGAAGAGCAGTGAAAACAGCAAAATTAGCATTTTCTAGCGTTAGCATGTTTTGGGGTTTCGTTCATCTTTGATACATGGACAAGTCCATGTCTCTTCATTCGAATGTGTCAACTTATGCTAACAAAATCACAGCAGGCTGCTAACAAGAAAAAAAGATAGTAAGAAGCTCAGAGCTAGTGTGACTAACTGGCACTAGCAAGTTCTGGGCTTGCTAGCATGTTAGCTGTTAGCTCCCTGGAACATTGAAGATTTTTTTTCATAGAAAACACAAACTTTTATCCTTCTGGTTTCCTTGTCTCTTTTCTTTCTTCATCTTCTCACCTCTCTCCTTGTCTTCCTCCTCTCATAGGGAAGAGTTTCACTCTGACTATCACAGTGTTCACCAACCCTCCTCAGGTGGCCACATACCAACGAGCAATTAAAATCACCGTGGATGGTCCAAGAGAGCCGCGACGTGAGTTGTAAACACAAACGCACGCACACACACACACACACGCACACACACACACACACACACCTACATTCAATTGTGAGTCCCATCTAATTCTCCATTTACATGGATTCCCATGATCCTTTCAATCAAGAAAACATCATTCTACTTTAAAGGAGCTAAACTATAACACCCGAATAAGGGAAGAGAAAGATGGTGGCAGATGTTAATGTCAGGACACAAACTCTGCCTCTACCCACATGTTGTCACTTTTTACTTCATTACCTCATAACTGAATGTTAGCGGCTAACGTCACTGAGCTGCTGCGGAGAGGCACGCGCGTGTTCACATCGGCTGCGTCTCCCCTGCAGCTCTATCTCTCTACATAGTTTACAGGCTACTTGAATGTTGGATTTTTCTTCAATTATTAATACATTTCTGAGTTATTTGTGACAGAAATCGTCACTAAAATATAACTGTCTCCACATGTCTGTGTGTATATTCTGATTCAAACTTGACATAGAAGCTACAGTGGAAGGTGTCAGTTTTATGTAATGTTGCTGGTATGATGTCAATATGACATCAGCGAGAGGCCCCATCTCTAGATCTCTAGATCGCATCTCATGCATCCGGTGTGTTCCTGGCCTTAATCTCATCATGTTGGAGGCACCTACTTTTCTTTTTACTTCCAAATAGTTGGACTAACTTTTCGTACACACATCCAGTCTATATTTGCTCCTGGTCAAGTTCTCTCTGACCGTGAGTTACAAGCTCCTGCACTGAGCATGGACGGCATTAAAACGAACACTGCTGGAGTATTTTAATGTCAGAGATTGTGTCAAATTTAAAAAGTGTACAAATGTATTCAGTACAGAGAGAAGTTACAGTCGTATGGTCTGATGACAGCATTTATTTTTTTTTATCACCAGCACCTTAGTTACCATGCACAGATGCTGCCTAAAGCAAGGATTTACGTAATGTTGTGTTTTTGCAGAATCATCCAATATTCTCACAATGGACTCCCAAGCTTCATGTATAATATATGCACAAATTTCGTTCAGTAATTTCACATTTCAGCTGATAAAACTGTGTCGTACTGGTTTTATATGATGATTATAAGTTGTGTTTTCTTCATGTTAAAGTTAATAAAGTCAGTGAGGACTCGTCTCTGATCCTTCAGACGAAGCCTCAGCTGAGTGAGTCAATAAGGAACCTGATGCAACACTGACTTCCTCACTGTGATGAAACATGGGGATTTCTAATGGCAGATGAAATCACTAAAGAAGAGGCTAGTAAATTCTAATGTGTGTCATATGGACAAAACTCATTCATGTTAAATGGAGGTGAAGAGAATGAGAGAAAGAGGTGAGGAGGACTCCTGCCAGCTCCGCTCAGCTGTGAATAACCATCACTCATCTCTAACTCGCCCTCACACACACACACTCACACACACACACACACACAAGCATACACACGCAGTATAAATACACACTCATGCACACTTCCCCCATTGGGAGGAAGTGCCTGAAACTGGAGCTCAGTCTCTGTGCTTTGAAGTGCAGCCAACACCACAGACAGCGTGACAGATCACCACACACACGTGCCTGTGCGGCGCCCACTGACGGATTCCCGAAAGCAAGTCAGGACATTGTTGTAGTCTGTGTCAGGCTGTAACTGTAATCCTTGGATGATGTAATCAGATTACAAACAGACTGATCTGATGACGGTCTCATCCCGCCTCTCTCACCAGGTCACCGTCAGAAGATGGACGAGGTCAAACCGGGATCCCTGGCGTTCTCCGAGAGGCTAACAGAGCTGGAACAGCTGAGACGCAACTCGATGAGGGTGACGCCTCCTCACCATCATCATCACCATCATCAGCCCTCGGTCAATGCCCGCCAGTCTGCCGCGCTCAACTCTGCCACGTTCTCCAGCCCCACGCACACCCAGATAACTGCTGGTAAGAAAAGTGACGGTCGAATCAACCTCAATCTGTCCAGCAAGCAAAGAAACAGCGGGAGAGGAAAAAGAGGAAAAATCTGCAGAAATATCTGAAAAATGTTATTATGAAATCTTGAAATAATGCTGCTCTGTCAAAGAGTGATGGATAAGAATCCAGTTCTGTAGTCTTGATCCCTACCCTTGAGACCATGTGTCATGGTTCTGGATTACCATCTCCCTTAACCTGGACATCTCAGTCTTCATCCACATCATTTTAGAACAGTGTTTTAAAACTAAAATGATCTCCGTCCACACTAACAAACCTGAGAGCACATATAACATGACCATTCATGTACACTGGACATGTGCAAGCTGGTATAGACAGGAAGCAGCATTAACACTTGTAACTCATTATCATATTGTATTCCCCACTGGTAGGGGCTGATAGGAGCCAATCAGGAGAGACCATGGGTGTCTCCATCATTGTTTCCAAAGGTCTCAGTTTCAGCCCCCGAGTTTTCAAAATAAAACACAACCCCAGAGTGTTCAAAACAAATCAGGTCCAGTCTCTGTTTTAGAAGTTCAGAGACTCTGGAATAGAATGAATAGCATTAGTAAATGTAGCAAAAGACATGTGTCCCAATTCAGGGCTCACATGATTCAGGCTGCATTTGAAGACCAATTGTGTCACCGTGGCTAGACTGTCCCATTTCGAAGGCTCCTTCAAATGCAGCCGACAGATGCGTCCTTCTTATCCTGGGCAACCTATCCCAAAAGTCATTGCGCACCAGTAATGAAAGTAAACAATGCCCACAGAGACAGTTAAACTTAAGTATTGGATTCCAGCTCATCCAAAACCGAGGACCTTAAACCTCAAGTTTTAGGGAAGAAAAGTTACATGTTGTCAAGGTTGCTAGGCAACGCCATAGTAAGGGCAGGCACAGCTCGTGAAACACAGCGCATATCCTCTGTAGACCCTGTAACTTTCTTCCCTAAAACTTGAGCCGTTTACAGGTCCTCGTTTTGGATGAAGCTGGAATCCAA